CGGGAGTAGAAGTGTCGAGTGTCTAGTGTGATAACCTAGCTCAGCTTCAAAAGTAGGTGAAATATATTTTTAAAATTCCTCTTTTGGCTGCTTACTTCTGATGTAAGATTTGGTTGACAAGATAAGGTTCGCATCCTTGTCAGTGTTTTGAAACTTATTTGTCAATAATTATATCTTTATTAATTATGGAACATTCGGGCCGACTGAATTCGGTTATTATTCTTTTAAAACACCGCACAGTCTAAAATTAGTGCTTTTAACCCAAACACACTTTGTTAAAAGCTTATAGACATACAAATTCTTAACTTACCTAAAACTCGTTGTCGTTGTGGCTGGACTGACACAGTGATCCTGCATGCGTCCTCATTTTCATCAAACATTACTGTTTCTTACCGAAGTCAATTTTCGCATGAAAAATGAAGATTATTGTGGGACAACTACATTGAAAAAGTAATTTTCTTAACTTGAACAGTGTAAGTCTTCACTGAAGATACTTATTGCAATGTTCCACGTTATAGACATGGCAAGGCTTACTCAAGGTGAGAATTAACTTCTTGAAAATGGTGTAATATTTTTTTCGTAACCAACCAAACAATGGGACCTGAAAATATATTTAAAGATCATGAGGAGCGGGAGAAATGGTTGATGCATTCTAAAAACTTTGAAAGTGATGTTTGAGTGACTGTTGCAATGTTTTTTTTAATTCTGCAAAAGAAATTCACCTTTTATGCACGCTAATTTCTAAATAGCAGCGTGCCGATTTCGCTCCTCTCAAATAACGTCAAAAAGGGTTCTCTGAAGAATGTAAGGTTCGATATACTTCTGGAAATCCAAGATATTCATATTTTAAGTAAGTATCTAATTTAGTATCTTATTCTATCCTTTTCGGTGAAGAAAATTCGTGAATGAATGTTTGAATTAAATTAGCAGTTTGTCTACAGCGTCTGTTTATTTGGTTTGCCACATTTCACGAGTGATATGGGAATTTAGATCATATGAGTAAATTTTGTCATTACGATATCAAAATCAATTCCAATTCACCAGAAGAAGCTTCTTTTTTAAAAGCTTACGTGCGACTTGAACTTTTCAAAATTTTATTCGTGCTCTTAGCCCAGGCGGGAAAACGATTAGCAAATCACTTGTTGGATTTTAGTCGACCATAGAGGGGCTCTTTTCTCTTTTCAAATTCCAGAAGATATTATGGGATATAAGCTTTTAGAGTAAACACGCGGCTGTTCCTGATAAATTGCGTCGGCGATTGACGCACAATTTTCCATTAAATCCCTCTCTTTGGGAAAGTTACATTACAACGATTTTAATCTTTGCTAAAACATTAGGTTAGTGTAAGTTCCTCATGTACATCACACCTCACGATCAATGCTATGAAAAGAAACTAATTTTTAACTGTTTGCTTTAAATTGATCACTCAGTACTTCCAAACAAGCTTTTTCTGAAGAAAATGTTATGCTTATTTGAACATAAATCATTTTTCTGCTTCAATACTTTATCAAACATTAAAACAAATTAGTAATTACAACTGAGAAAAGTTTCCTCCCTAAAAGGACGAGACTTCTATTGGTGTCTACTTAGTTGCGTTGTTTGAATAATTGATGTCGTCTTGTCTCAAGCATTTTAATTCGTCATGTATTCTCACAAAGCATCGAGGCCAGAACTTTCTACCTTTATTCATACAGTGTGCTAAGGTGACTAGAATGTTCCTGCATACATATAAGCCGAATTACTGCGGAAAAATTGCCTACTCTAATAAAGAATCTATAAGGTCTCAGCTTGTTATCAATGATGCGATTCCAATTATGGTCTTCTACCACGGAAACGGAGCAATTTTCTTTTTATCTCTTGATTTTCTGCTCTATTTGCTAATAACACATCGAAAACTTGAAACAAAGAACGAGAAAAGGCTTTTAAATTCGTCTACCAGTGTTACTGACTAAACACTCTATCTGAAAATGATTAGTTTCACTATTGTAGTACCTCAAGTGGAAGAAGTTTGAGAGAAAAAAACAAATGCTACTCTCTGACCGGCTTTAGCGAGGAAAAAACAAACTTGGTGAAAGAGAAATTTAAAAGTTCAAAGCATGTTCGATAGATTATATTGAAGCAAAACGTTTGTCGAACAAAAAGAAAAACCTTTGATTTATTAGGTCTCTATTGGCATGTCAGTATATAATGTAACTTACGTACCATTAATCCAATTACGTATTGCCTCTTCATACCGCCACATATTTTATGTGATGTTACCCATGTGAATTTAGAAGTAATCAAGACCTTACCACCGTTAGAGCCTATGGAGGTTTGGACTCTAAGCGTGAGGTAAAGACGAAGAAATAAAGGGTGTAAGTTTCCAAGGAAACTTGAGTGCTGCGTCGCGGTATCATGCAAGATTATTTTGTTTAATCAACGAGGCTGATACTGTAAATTGGCCTCCGAAGAGAGTTCTTGAAGACGACGTTTCTCGCATCAGCCATCCGTTAGATTGAATCAATTTAGCAGAGAGCCGAGAGGTGAATGAAAATGATCCGTTTTCGTCTCAACCACATATAAGCCAAAGATTTTCCCCACTCCCCCCACTCATGTTTCATCCGTCCTCTCTAATTTGTTTTATTCAGTTTAGCATACCTTTATACTTCGCAACTGGAAATCTCTGATTTAATGGTTGATTATGAAGTTCTCAGTTTACCGCGTCGGTCATAATCAATAGCTTTTGAATCATTAAATATTACTTTAGACGGACGAAACGGCATAAAAAAGGACCGCTTTCATTTAATATGTTACACTACCATCAACAAGGATTTTGGGAAATATTTTTAGTTGGAATTTATTTAAAAAGCTTTTGATGATTCTCTAAACTGGTTGATTTATAAATTTAATTGAAATGAGCGGAGTGCAATATGCACTGAAATAACAAGTAAGATTTCAGATGAAAATCGCACTCATCCATTTTGAAATCGCAAATTTAATATCCCAAATAAAGGATTTTAGTCAGAACAAATATTTTATTGATCTAACACTTAGCCGAGGAAAAAAGTTGAAAAATTTGCAATTTGATTGCTTACTTTAAATAAGCCTTGAAATCTGATTGGCTGTTTTATTTTAGTGTTGCTTTCTTATTGGCTGGAAAACGATGCAAGTTAGAGCAAAAAAAATACAATTCATAAATAAATCACACTGCTGAGAGCTAATCAGATTGTATGCATCACAAGTACTTTCAAAATAGATGTAATAAATCAAGAAATTCACCTTATCAGGTGTTGTCTCAGCCTTGTTTTCCACTTTTATTGAACAGCTCGTCGTTTTTTGAGGCACACAATCTGAGGAAAAGTTACTCTGGAGAGGCTTGTTTGCGTTATTTTTGTATTGCTGTTATACAACTTTTAAGAGTCTTAAGTTTCGATAAACCATGTTTAAATTGAAGTTCGTCTTTAAAAAAATATCGATACAAATAAATATTCCCACACAGTATTTTTCCCTTTTTTTCTGAAAAGCATTTGGATTATACTTTGAGTCCGATTCTGCTACCGAATTATAATCTATGGCAAAGAACATTCTGGAATGAGAATTATTCTTCGGCATTTATTATCCGAAAGAAATAAAATTACGCCGCTTAGACGTTGTGAGTTTCTCAGGGGGTATGAAACGAATTAATGAAGAGCACTTAATACAACCTGGAATTAAAAACTGGATTGATAAGGTAAAATTAAAAGCACAAATTTCCTTTTTTTGGTGCGTTTTATTCAGGAATTTAACATTATTTTATTCAAAACTGCAGCTGTTTTCATAACCGAGATAGTTACCTGGTTTTCGCGCATCAAGGCAAAATAATAAGATTAAATGTTGTTTTTCTTTAACCAGGAAGTATCATTACTTGTTGAACTTGATTCATGGTCAAGTTCAAATAAGGCCAAAAAACTTTCCTCGAGCTTTTTTGTTTAATTATTCAGTGTCAATATTAAGACCGATATCGAGAAAGAAAAACATACAGAAATAGAGCTTTCTCACCGACAAAAAACGACCGGCTCATTGAATGCTCTGTAATTAAATGTTACGACCCACAATTCAGAGCACGATCATCGTGGTTCATGTCATCAGTTGGCGATTCTTCTTCCATGATTTAAATTAGTTACACTGAGTTCGTTTTCCAGCGCCAAATAATTTTTCACCGGCGCTGCTGATTGACTCTGAAAGTGTGAAACTCATTTTTCATTTTACCATTACCATTCACATCTCAATGGAATCATAGAGATAACAACTTTGTTATTGAAACAGAGAATTTTGAGCAGTCAAAGGGTTGATTGCTTATGTCGAAGTCTAGACCATCCCGTGGAGAAAACTTATTATTATGTAAATGGATGGTATAAGAAGTAAACTCAATTTAATTTTGCTCTTTCGAAGGCAAGGTGCTTGGTTGGTGAAAACTTGTTCTTCAGTTAATCAGCTATTGATGGTGGAACTGAAAAACGAAACAGGTATGTTTTCTTCTCGAGGCTTCTTGCCCATTTTTCCCCGCAAGTTTTCGCTGTAAATTAAAAAGAAATCATTACAATTTTGATTTCTCAATTGCGTGGTAGTTTTTTCTAACACAGTGTAGAACCCGAATACTATTCTAGTTTCTGTGAAGCTAAGTTCATCTGACCACTTGGTGTAAAATGTCACATCAAATTTCAGCGTAGTCAATAGAGGTGTTCAAAATCTTTTGCTCAATAGGAACTTGTGGTGCTAGCTAGGTGCTAGTTTATGGAATTTATGTACCGGCCTGGAGCGGTGAGTTTCACGAGAATGAAATATGATACACAGGAATGCTATTTACGGAAATTTATGTAAAGTAATCTTTATTTACGAAAAGGATGAAAAAGTTTTCAGTTTAACTGAAACGGTTTTTGTTTCATACTACTCACCTTTTCTTTTATTTCGCAGAATTTTCCATGGCTTCTAACATGACACAAAATGACACCATCTCGCCACCTGGTGAGGGAGTCGTAGTCCCGCGAGACATTCAGGTTGGAGTCACAGTGGTCGCAGTCACAACTTTTATCCTGGCAGGAATTGGTAACTCGCTGGTGATCTACATCGTATGTACAGTCAACCAGATGAAGAGCTCAACAAACACTCTCATTGCCAATATGGCTGTTGCAGATCTTCTCATGACCATTGACATTCCTTATATGCTCAAATGGGTGTACGTGTGGAATGGTTGGTTTGGTACATTTATGGGCACCGCCTTGTGCAAGTTCTTTCACTCAGCTCAAGTTGGTTCCTTGGCTGCTTCAGTGTTTAGTTTGGTGGCGATTTCTTTAGATCGCAGTTTTGGTATTTTATTTCCAATGAGAACCATAATGACCAGGAATGTTGTGCGTTTTGCAATCGCCGCGATTTGGCTCGGCGCACTGGCCTTGTCCATTCCGCTTATGCTAGTGGTCAAGAACACCAAAGATGAAAGAACGGGAAATATGATCTGCGACGAGATTTGGCCGCCCATATCACATAAAACCTACGCAGGGTTTCTATTCACAACTTCCTACATCATTCCAATTTTGATCATTGCGGTAGTCTACTTCTTAGCGGGGATGCGCCTTTGGAGCAGGAAACTCCCAGGTCATCGCACATTAATGTCGCACAAGAAAGCTCAAGCGTCCAGCAGACGCGCCACAGTTATGTTGATAACAGTGGTTATCGTTTTTGCTCTTTCTTGGTTTCCATTTCAAGCCTTGGAAATCATAAGATATATCGATCCGAAAATATTAACCAACTTTACAGTCCCAATGGCGGTTTGGTTTGTCATTCCGTGGTTTGGTTACTGTAACAGTGCCGTTAATCCAATTATTTATGTGATCTTCTCGGAGAATTACCGTCACGAATTTTATCGAATCCTCTGCAGGGGACCAAGCCGAAAGGAGCGTTACAGGAAGACTATTGTATACAGCCGCAGCGCAACTCGCACGACACGCTTATCAAGAGCTAGCTCAATGGCAGTCAGTATTCCTCTTCAGAAGTTGAGAGAAGAAGCTGACCATAGAAGAGGAAGTCCAGAGACGCCGTGAGTCCAGTCCAAACTACTTAAAAATCAGGCCTTTGCAAAAAGTTCTCCTGAACTGGGGAAGAAAAGGCACCAAAATTACTCAAACATTTCTCAGCCGTTGTGTTCGTTTTTGCTTCACCTTTCTTTTAGCAAGCTTTGTGCTTGATGTAATTTTCAGGAAGAATTTCCAAATCAAAAAAAACTCTGACCTCTTTCTGACTGCTTTCGTTTTCCTGTTGGGTTTCGTTCCTTTTCTTCATTATTTCAGATTTCTTTGACTGAATCAGCGAAACTTGATATATTCAAAGAGCACGTTTTGCACCAACCTTTTATTAGTTTTAATTTTACCATTGTTTTGATATTTTCACCCTGTAATTTATTACGTTGAGAGTGGCACGGTTTCTTTCAACTATAACCCGTTTTAGTTATAGAAAACAGCAGTGATATATCGCTGTGATATTACTGTGGTAACTGGATCTGACAGATGTTTTGCAGTACTTTACCTTACCATAATATCGTACCAGAGGTACTACTACGAGTATGGCCGACTTCGGCCGACGTATACTGAAATCATTTGTTGTTACTGCCTCAATTGCCAACGAGTAATGAACTACCATTCAACGTTAAATTGTTTCGTAGGTAAGACTCGTGCAGTGGGGAGTATTTGGGTCAATTTTGCCGGATATGTACCACTGTTCTCTCAGAACCCCTAACCCACCATAGTCGATTGTTTGGCAAATTATGGTATCCGTCATTTTTGGTCACACGGTGACAACTTTTTAACCGCGAATGTTCCCGTTTTTAATACTAACTTAATCCAAAAATGTACGACCCTACTAAAATGCAACCCCGTTATAGACAATCCAGACGTTAAAATGCGACCACATCCACATCCCCTTCAGCTTTTTACAAGGAAGTAAACGCCCCCTCCCGAGGACTTGTGCTTGTTGCACCTGTAATCATCAACCATCAATGGTTCTTATGAGAAATTAGGAGACTTATGTGAGCATCAAATGGAAAGATAATGATTTAATTACAATAGCAGTAAGGATAAAACATTTCCTGTAGATTAAAAATATTTCAAACAATTTGGACTTCGAAACAGTTTACTACGAAGAAAGCGAATAAAATGAAAACGATGACGAAAATCTGCCCGAGGAAGACTTATAGTTAATGCACAAGGAAACGACTATACCACCTTTGGACTTTTATTATGATCTTAGAAACATTTCATTTTAACTGTAAATAAGTGAAAATTCCGTGACACTAAATTTGCATTGTCAACACTAGTATATTTCCACGATAAGGCAAATAACGTGTGTTCTTTTGAACTTAATAAAGAGTTCTTTGCAATCTCACGTACATCTGTCCGTTAGTTACGTGTCTATGTGCTTTACTGCTGTATGTGACCTTTATCACTTACCATTCAATTATTGCGAATGTCAAAAGGAGCAAACTTTTAAGACTATTCAAACGTGGTTAAAATTTGCTTTTTGGTAACTTAATCGTCAAGCCCATGTTATGCCACGCAGGTTCTTTCCCTATCTGGTTATTTTCTCGAAACTCTAGTAATGAATCTTTCGAAGACCACAAAGTTATGACAGGTGACCCTCTCCGCTTTATATTAATTAAGGAGTGCTGGAATAAAACGATTTCATTAGATGAAAAGGAAATGAGTGATGGATAATTAGAAAAAAGAAAATCCTGCAAATTCAGACCTTGTGGTCAGTTCAGAACACAGGGCACAGTACACGGCCATACGGGTGAGGTCTACCGAAGCCACCGCAGGTCACCTCTCAAAGCCTTGCAAAACTTTAAGATAACAATGACTGAAAACGACACTACAATAACTTCTTAATTTCTTCAATTTTTATATTTCATTTGCGGGCTCAAAACAAGAGCCATTTTCCTTGAAAACTACTCAGTACGTGTCAGGAATTGTCAAAGGTACTTTAGTAAAATAATTCAAACTAACGATCTATTCACAGTCTCACGTTTTCGTCGTCAGTTAATGTGGTACTCTAAGTTATGAAGTTATGAAGTTATGAAGTTATGATAAAGATCACATGAAGTCTGGTGCTGAATGAAAGCGAGTTTCGAAACATTTCAGGATTCCTTTATCAGTTGCTTGCGAGTACCTGTTGTGATTGCGAAGCAGGCTGATCAATAAAAGAGAGTTTTCTCTGGTGTCAGCCATCGTTATTGGTCTGTGCGGCGGGCGTAAAGAGCGATTCTAAAGGATGCTTCGAGAATAATGCTTAAAACAACACATCCGCAGATTATCTCCACAACAGATCCGTTATGATGAAAAGCTCACTATGGCCGACTGTCCGTGACTTTTTGGAGACCAACTATGGCTCTATCAAACATACTCGGTATGTTTATAAATTGAATAGGACCCTATCCAGATGCCAGAAATGGACAGAAATATAGACACAAACGTTTTATTCGGATCGTTCGCAGCTCGTTACAAAAGATGGTGCTTAACTCAGGTGAAGGAACGTTTGATACAAGCTATATCGAGCGCGCTTAAGTTATACTTACATGTATTGTATTACCGCTTTGGCACATAATGTATGACAGCTGTCAATCTCCAAGTTGCATACTTTTCTTTTTAATCATTTTCATATTACTTGAACTTACTCATGCAGATTTACTAAATTAATCACATTGACATCGACATGTTTATACTGCAGCTAAACACGTACACTACCACAGAGCAACAAATAGTAAATTAAAGAGATGTACAAATATCAAACCAAATTTTTGGCCAGGATTTACGAACTGGGCATCCAATAATTTTAAAGAAGGCAAATAATAATTACAAATAATAGATAAACGAAGTGGTTTTTTTTCCAAAAAGTGAGCATCCATAAAACGCCTTGACGCCCATCTGGCTAAACCGTAGTCCAAACTTAATGATTCCTTGCTAGTATCCTACAACATCAAATCAAAACAGACTTTCTCCGAGGTTTTCACGAAATTATAAATTCTCATCCTCAGGCTGTATTAGGTTACTAAGCAACAGTGTATGCAATAAAGAATATGGAAAATTGTGCCATTTGCGTAATGTTCTTACTCTTTAAGTAATATCATCATACAATAAAGCTTATACTGACTTATTTCCAGCTTCTCTCATGTATTTAAAAAACTTTGTATAAACAGTACCTACGACGGTCCTGCTATTGGAACCTTCTTCATTAAACTGTGGTTTTCAAAGGCTTGTAATATTCTTCATCAAAGGTGAAAGACATAGAAAGCTCACATACAATTTACATGGATTGATGTGCTCCTACTTTCAGGTATAACTATTATTAAAAAAAAAAGTTTTTGGCACGTGAATGCTCAATATTTCCCACATTTGAGTGCCATATTTGAGCTGAAAGCATGAAAAAAAGTAAAGATTACCAGAATCATGGAGCCTGAGTGAGTTTAGTAGATGAGGGTGTCATGTAACATAAAGAATTCATCACCACATAAGTATGAAAATATGAGCTACGAGAATGATGAAAAACCCACCGCATAGACTGCTTGTAAAAAGTAAAAGCTCACACTGTATCTAATACCGTGAGCACCCAATATAATGGAATACCACCGAGTGTAATAAAAAGATGACCACAAACGATAAAACTATCAAATATTCTTAAAAACATTCATAAGACAATGTAATCAAGTAGTACAGAGCAGTAATGGCGTTCCATCATTGTCGGTTTTGCAATTATGTCATCTACAACACTTTCGACTAATTAAAACTTCTTTCAATTAACTATATACTGGGACGATTTCCATGACAGTGACAGCTTTAAAGATTATCATAACCTGAATGAAATAGTTAAGCATCTGATGCTCTGCATAACTTTAAGGATGCTATACCACGGTTTTCCGATCATCACCGCTTTAAGTGAAACTGTGGTAGAGAAGCCACATAAAGAAGCTTTTGGCATTGCTTTCCTCTCAAGGACTGAAGAGCACACCTCAAGAAATACTTTAACAATCTGAAGGTGCATAAAAATTTATTTCTTTAACATCTGTAAAAACTGCTTTAACCAACTTCCTTTGGTAAATTTCGGGCCCAAATTCATATACGACGGCGAAACTCATTCCGCCGGTGAAGACATCAAATTAAACGACTTTTTTATATATTTACCCGCAAATGACACTGGTTGCTATTCTGTTACCTACAGTATCCCAAACTTCTATATGCGGGTTTTAGAAAGAGGAAATCAAAGGTAAATTTGAGAGCAACAACCATGTATGAGGATGAGAAATCGAACTGATGGTTATCAAAGGAGTTTCACTGACTGACAGGTAAAGATTGTTCCCCTTCTGAAAATGCAGTTGAGTTTGATTCAAGTTCCTTGACATCTATTTACATGTGCTGGCACTTAGAAGCAATCTCGTTTTTAGGGGTGTGAATTTTCTGCTTTACAGCTAACAAAAAGATTTGGAGTGTTACTAAATTCGTAGAAAAAGAAAAAAAACGTTACAAGTGTGTGTGCGAGTGTGTTTCATTTCCCTTTTCTATTCAAAGGGCGAAATTTGGAAAGATGTTTGATTAAATATTAGCATAAATTAAAGACACGGAAAGATTTCCACCCAAGATAATTTTTATAACGCATTAATCGAGTGTCATCAAGAAAAAGGTTTAGGAAAAAGACCTCGATGCAAATTGGAAATAACGCAAAATTGCAGCTTTCTTTCTACATTCATAAACTAAGTTTGGGGAGCAAAGCGGATGAAGAAGTAAGTGGACCATGATTTTCAAATTGTCTGTATTTGTGCTCGTGTGAACAAGTCTCCCAGAAGTTTACTTTTTTTAAATGTTACAAAAATTGAATTGCTAAACCTTCATCTTTATGCCCGAGAAGGTGCATTTTGCTTCACTAATTATTCTCATCACCTGCTGATTAAGCGAGCAGGTATTCAGCTCAAGGAGAGCAGAATCTGAGAATGAAAATGACAACGACAAATGAAGAACAACATGGATGGCAACAGTAAAAAGTGGGGTGCCATTCAGTATGATTAGAACTACCACAAGTAGGCCATTAAACTTAGCCGTAATAAAAAGCCTTTCGGGTGGTTTTGAAAATTTATATATCTCCGCAAAAGGTGAACTAATTAGTTTTTTATTCACTCTTTATCAAGAGACCTAATAAGGAAATACAAGCGCTTGAATCTGTCAGCCGAAAATGAAAGACCTAATGAACAATACAGGTAGGGTGCTTTCCCTCCGTCAAACTTAAAAGTCTAGCGTTGCGAGTAAAGATTAACTCCCGATGACTATGCAAATTCTCAAGAATACATTTAAACTAGTTTAGTGAAAAAAAGTGTGTCGATCATACGACAAGTGTTTGGCTTAATGATAATTCTGATACTAGAATAATTAACCTGTCCAAATGAGAGGACCTTGAGCTCTGATCCTGATAGGTTTCGTTTCAGAAACAAACAAAAGTTAGCATTGAAAAACAAACAAATGGAGAAGTTAATCCCGGGATAAGTGATAGCAAAACATATAGCGTTATCCACCGTATAGAGATTTATCCAATAGATGCCGTTATCCAACCTTCAAACAACCAGGGCCTGTATTGTAGTTTCTATTTAAGTGATCCCTGTAGACAAGGATTGATTGTCTATTTAAGAGAGCAAATTGGTTAACTTCATACTCTCGAATTTATAGAATATCCTTCCCTCAACTCGTACCTTAATATTTGGTTCATTACCAATTAGAGATACGAACAATTCTCCAAATACGCATTATAAATAACCAGGGGCGGAAAAAGAGTACGGAGTTATGACGAGCCCTTCCTCCTCACATTACACAGCAAGACTCACCACTACAATCTCATTCAACAATTCTGTTTTTTTAAGAAACCACGTTTTTAAGGCTATTTGACCCATCTTGGCCGGTGATCACTTTTTCGACAAAATGTTTTCCCGAAAATTTTGGAGGAAATGACTGAGTATTTCAAGGTATTTTTATATTCAAGAAACTGAGCCTCATCAATATGTCAGTTAACCGGAATGATCAACGACAAAAATAACGATAAATATACTTCAAGTGGATCACCTCAATTAAGCCACTTAAAGGATTATTTCTTTCTCGGACTTAGCCTTACCTCAGAGTTCAGTTTATAACTCACCAATCGTGCGCTAAAGAGGTCTTGTAGATTATCTTCTACTGCATGACTGAAAATCAGTGCTCAATGACTAAAATTTGTCAAGGCTAAAGACTCTGACTCGACGTTCCGACTGCGGTAACCTATTTCATAAGTTAAATCTTTGCCTTGTTCTACAGGACCTGCTGGTGCCTCCAACATGACGTACAATTCCACCGAAGCGCCATCCGCCGGGAGATTACCGATCCCGCGCGGCATTCAAATCGTAGTCACGGTAATGGCCGTTACTGCTTTTTTACTGGCAACAATCGGTAACTCGTTGGTTATTTACATCGTTTACACAGTAAACCACATGAAGAACTCAACAAACATTCTCATCGCCAACATGGCTGTTGCAGATCTTCTCATGAGCATTGATTTGCCTTATATTCTCAAATTCTTTTTCATTTGGAGTGGATGGTTTGGCACGTTTATGGGCGCTGCGTTATGCAAGTTCTTCCACTCAGCTCAAGTTGGTTCCTTGATCGCCTCAGTGTTCAGTTTAATAGCGGTTTCTTTAGATCGCAGTTTTGCCATCTTATATCCTTTGGAGACGATCATGACAACAAAGGTTGTGGGATTCGCGATCGTCATAATTTGGCTTGGCGCATTGGCTTTTATGATTCCAGTGATGTTTGTGGCGACCGCAAAGCGAGAAGAAGAAACAAAAACTGTGATCTGTATAGAGGATTGGTCAGCATTGTCAAGAGAAATCTACACCCTTATTTTATTTGTCATAAGTTATGCCATTCCACTGTTTGCCATCACTGTAGCCTACTTCCTGGCCGCATTACGCCTTTGCAGGAGGAAATTACCTGGACACCAGAATCCGATTGCGCATAAAAAAGTTCAGAAAACGAGCAGGCGGGCGACTGTTATGTTAGTAACAGTGGTAGTGGTTTTTGCTCTCTCGTGGCTTCCATTTCAAGTTCTAGAGATGATTGCAACTTATAATTTTAAATTTTTCCTGGAGATTCCCATACAAGTTATATTTGTACTCCCATGGTTTGGTTACTATAATAGTGCCATCAATCCAATTCTTTACGTGATCTTCTCGGGGAATTATCGACGCGAATTTTATCGGATTCTATGCAAAAGAGAGAGCCGTAAGGAACGTTCCAGAGTAGCAGCCACTGGCGAGAGAAATACTGCGCCAAAAGCTGGAGACGTGATGGAACTCAACATTCCTTATGATACCTTGAAACTCAATACATCCCGTGATACCTTGGAACTCTATACATCCTCCGATGTACTTGAGACCCGTCTGTAGGCAGGAAACAACTTCCATTTGATGCGAGAACTTCACCTTACCATTAGGCGACCATTAGCCGTCCCTGAAATTCACACCTTGTATCCAGCAGTAAGCCATTTCAGCTCAGTGTTATATGGCGTTTAAAAGAAATCATTTTTTTCAATATTGAACGACTACATCTGGTCTTTTAGAGAGCGTCGGCCTCGGCGCCGTTCGAGGTTGTACTTGAATGACATACAGCGAAAACTCGTTTGAGATTTATAAAACTTTGACTGTTTAATTAATAGATTGATACAGGGAATAATGAAGTAGTATGGTAAATAAATTTTACAAATAAGAGTGTGCAAGTGACAGCCTGATACCTTAATTAGCATTCCCTCTTGTATACTGGAGGGGAGTTCGCATTAGGTCTGGGATGAGATGAGTCTTTCTCGGTGACGTCACGGCTCGAAGCACAGTTCGGGTTTAACCAAGCGGACAAATCCTACTAGAATATACATGTGGTTACGAAAAAGAACACTATTATCGACTATCTTTAATAATATCAACCCTGAGCAAGAACCGATTGTGTGTTTTTGTCAGAGTCTGTGTTATCACCCACGGACCATTCAATTCATTCGTAAACCAAGGTTGAGACTTCAAGCACCAGAAAAATGCATGTACTGCGCTTCGGTGACATTCAATGCCAAGCTCCCTCAGAATATTTCATCGAAATGCGTCTAATCCAGTAAGGAAGTCTAAGGATTGTTCTACAGCGTTGGAAATTTCACACTTAATGAAAGAATTACAAATCGTAGCTAAAGTACAGATCGTTGTAAACAGGAATAACGCTTTCGGTGTGTAACATTGTCTAAATTTATTCAAGTGACGAGATAAAAGAAAATAATTAAGTATATAACAGCGATTTCATTTCAACCAATTCAGCTGTGGCGTAAGTATTTAATGATTGCTTCGAATTTAATTTTCTTTGCTCTAATACCTGCCTTCAACAACATCAAACGATGAATTCATATCTTTTGGTCTAGTTTCATCGTAAATTTTAGAGGTCACGGTCAGGAAACGGAAAGGGTCGTTATCGCTTTGAGTTACCACGTCTGTTTGACCTGCATAACAAAAAAATTGGTCATGGAAACTGTTGCAATGGCCGTTCAAATACGCAATCACAAATCTAAAAGTGTATGATTCACAATTATTTTAATCAACTATGAGAACGTAGAAAATTTAGCGAAGTTAGAAAATATAAAAGTACACATCTCTGCTCTTTGACTTTATTTTTAAAGAAGATGTGTATATTTGGTTGGCAGCGTCAAATCACCACATGAAAGAGTAAAACTGTCAACCTCTAGTCTTTCCAGAAAGGTTCGCTTCTGCGCTAATTGCTATCTCGTCAAGAGAATATAGAACTTAATCGATCGTTTAAGTGAAGACTAAGCTCTCAGGCGTGGTTCAAGAGTAAGAAAGCAAATTAAGGATTCACCTGGCATAAAAGCAACCGCAGATTTTCCGATTGTTACGCAAACATAACATAGATTTGTTCTTTAAACTGTTCTTCTGTGCATCATACTGATAAATACTGCTTACTTGTTGCTCCAAACCAGTTAAAAGTTCTATGAAATCTCTCCATCGCTCAGTGTATTTGTGAATGAAAACATAAGTTCTCTGCTGAAGTGTATAATTATTAACTTAAGTTTTTTGAAATGTTAGAATAACAGAGGTACATTACACGCATAAATATGACCGTGTTTGTAACTCTTCATAATTTTCTTCACATATTCAGTGGGTGAGGGTTGAGCTAACATACGATGTTTTGTGTTTTTGGAATTTCGTTCTTGTTAATAAGAATTCTAGTTAATAAAAGAAGAGAATTTTGGAAAAGAACTTACTGCTTGTGAGAACTTTCAGTTGACTAGAGACAAGTTAGGACTGCCGGTGCCTTTACTCACTCTACATGAGAATATGGCGAGCACTTGCGGACCCGCGAACGCACTTCTCTCAACTTATAAAGAACTGACGCTGGTCGTACATTGTACAATTAACAGATTTTTGAAGTGATTGCCGATTGCTTTTTAAACGAGTAAAGCAAATTTGCAGCAGTTCAATATTTATTAGGAAACCCTCAGATAGCTTTTCAAGGTTTATAATTGTTTTCTTTTCTTTGATAGTCCAACTTCTATTAATTTAGAAAGGATGCCTTTCCAAGACTAAGTATCGCATTCAGCTAAAAAGGGGTTTGACAGACTTCAAGAGATAAACAAATGTGATCACTACCAACCTGTGTTTTGGCAGGCCAAAAAATTTAGGTTAAGATAATAACAATAATAAAACCTTGGACTGTTGAAAATTAACATCCCTTTTATTGGTTTACACATAGTTGTACGAAATAACTGTTCACGATAGTAAAAAAATTTCCTAGCTTACATATCTGTGTTCATTCAGATTCGCTGTGTTTGGTGGGATAAAATAGTTCACTGATTTTTACCTGCAACAATCTCATCTATTAGAGACTTGTTTGGTTAGCGCATGCAATTGTAAAAGGGAAAAAAATAAAGATTTCTAGTCGAACGGTCTTACTTTTATTGGAAATCCTGTAAAAGATTACTCACATTCGTTATTCAAGTTAGTGTGAAGATACGTCAGTGACGAATTTCAAAACTTGGCTATATTTTTCAGCCAGATTACAACTCACAGGTATTTTCTCGCACATGGAACAAATGATAAAATTAACCTAGGAAATATTTCATTTTTCGCGATAGATGTATTGATATATCTTTTGTTTGGTTTTGATTGAACAATCGTATTTGTAACTGTTCGTTCTTCAAAACACGTAGAACGTCAAGAAAAAGAATCATATAATTGTTACTGTGTATTTTCACGGAGGAAACACAGATAAATAGACACAGCAGTATAGAAGTTGTTGTCCATGAAAAATATAAGTTAAAAGGCAGACCAACCTTCAAACATAGCCGAAACTCAGCCTGTGCTTTTCATAAAAGAGAATTTTCCCGGAAATGAAGGAAATAAATTTTTTTGTCTAAAAGAAAATAGCAGGGAGGGGGTTTTGTTCAGGCTTATTTCGTAACTGGCACAAACTTCTCTATCGCCAATTGGTTAGTTATTTTTGGGAATTTGGGGCTCGAGGGTTAATATCTACGTAAAAAGAGCTGAAATCATCATATTCCAATAATATCTATGGTATCTTTCTTTCTGCGCATGAAGGAAATTAAGGCAGCCATTTTTATTGTATATGATGAAGGGGGTAGAAAACATTAACATCCCTTTTCTGTCGGCCAAAAAAACCGAACAAATGCATAAAGGAAAAACCCGTGAAAGCGAATTCAATAGAATTACTAAAAGGTGTTTTTAGGACGTGAAAACAGGACGAGGAGTAAAGCAATTAGCAGATGTTACTACCAACGCAAGACACAATTGCAAACTCTTTAACTCAAAGTGTGAAAATTTTGGCTTCGAACGAACTTTCCAGTGAACAACAGTCCTGCTGTCCACAGGTGTTGACACCCAATTGACATATTTTTTTCTTTTAACTTTTGTGTGAATGATTTATGAAGCGTTGAGCAGTGGCGCATGCGTGTAATGCTGTTTTGACGCCAATGAATTCAAACCCAGAGAAATGTATGGTCGCTTAAGTTCTGGATTTAGCCGAGTTCTTTGTGTTTCATTGTGAAATTTTGGCCGAGCAATAACAGATTCTGAATGAGGCGATGGTGAAAGTTTGAACAGTTACGGTCTCCCTCTAATTACGAAACAGATTTATTTTTATTCTGTTATTTAATTTATGTGACAATTTGTCAGTCACCTTTTAAATCCTGGTTTAATTTGCTAAGTGGGAGTTTTGTGGTTTTTGCTATTAGTCTTTTTCAGCAACAAGAAACTGTCTGGAATCAAACAAAAGATGAAATAAAAAAATTATATGAGTCTAAAGTAAAGTAAAGTAAAAATGTTTGCAAAAAATGTAAGTGTTTACTCATTGCGTTAGTGTTTGGTTTCGAATAGTTTCCAGAACGACCAGTTGGGTTCCAGAGACAATTTTTTCATTAAAAGAAACCCCGAACAATAAAATTTGCCACATGGTGTACACAAAGTACTTAGCACGCGCACTGGAAAATAACTTAATGAATGATGTTTTCTCATCAAACGTTGACTGAGTTTCAGAAGGATAGCAGTTGACTTTCTGTCTCCAACCTGTAACAATGCCATTCTTCTTTTCTTAATTTCACTGGCGTCACTTGTGGTTCAAGAACAATACAAACTTCGCTCAGACCTGTTTATGGGATTGACTCATCTCCAATTATCCGTTAAGCCTGTAGATTCCTATTATCCTATCGAGCTTTTGAATAAAGCATTGTGGCAAACCAATGTCGGGTTTTAGTTTCGTTTGTTTTAATCTCATTTAATGTCGTTCGATGCCAAAGTCTTCATCGTCAAAACTAGTTTATTAATTAAGAAGCACAGTCCCAACCAAATTCGAGTGCCGACCAATATCAGTAAATAATTTGATTGCATGCATTGTGTTTGTTTCTTTTATGTTATGAAAAAGCGCAAATTGAATACAGACTCGTAAAAACGCATGAGACACGAAACCTTTCTTCAAAAAACGTTTAACTGGACAGATTTGTCGGATTTCTTTCAGCGTACTTGCTTAGGTAAATTTTACCTGTAAACGAATGTAACAGGTAGGTTTTCTTCCTGGTGTGTCAATTTTTTCCAGGAATCACGCGTAAGTTTTTTGCTGCTAAAATATATGTAAAAAAGAGGTGTTCCAGAGACTGTTTCTGTTTCCATGGCGAGTGTTTTTGTTCTTTTGTTGAATTTCAGCCAAACCCCTAAAAATTATCTCCAAATTAATGAAAAAGGGTAGTCCATGGTTC